TTCCCCCCCCTCTTTCATTTCACTCCTTTTGACAATGTTGAAATCCCCTCCCAAACAACACAGCCCCTCCCAGCTCTGCCTTACCCTTCTTAACTCCTCCCAGAACTACACTCTCTCTCCCTCCTCATTTGGCCCATACACATTTGTCACTCCCCAGGCCCGCTCCCCATTTACCTCTTGCAGGCAAACTTATACAGAATGACTCCCAGCTCACTCCCCTACTTTCCTAAAAATCCCTGGATACTACAAGATGACTAATCCTCCTGCCAGCCCCACCACATTCAATTCCACCCACTCCCCACCATCTCTCCCCCAAATCCTATTCATCAAATTAATATCAAATGATTCTGGCTTTGTTTCTTGCAAGAGAACTACGTCAGGCTTCTGATTTCTTATCAGATTGCTCACTAGAGACCTCCAATTTCTCTCCCCCAAACCCCTAACATTCCAATTTAACAGCTTTATCCTCTCCCCTCCTCTTGGCTTGTCTATGCCTCAGCAATGCCCCTCACTCTTTGGTTGCAACTTGTCCCCCCTCCCTGTTCCAGCTTTTTTCTTTTTTGCTTTCTTCTCTCTTGGGGAGGAGAGGGCTTTGCCAAAATTGCTTTCGAACAATTTGTAAATTACCAGAATACCCTATATATATGTAGGGGTGCCATGACCTAACAAGGCAGGTCAGCCAAACCCAAATCCAACTCAGGTTAAAGAATCAAAACCCTAACCCAACCCTATATCTGAATAGACCTGACCCTATAGGGTTGGATCGAGTCATGTTTGCCATTCAATTTGACCCATTGACATCTCTAAGAATAACCTTGTTCTTGAGACTAACAGACCCAAAAAAAAAAAAAAGTTTTAAAAACTCAAATACCGAAATTCAAATTATCAAAAAATTGCAAAATTTTCACTTGATAAGGAACTGGTAGAAAACTTTTATTTTATTTTATTTTTTGTGGTTCTTTCTCTGTTTCCATGTCTGCATCACCTAGCTTCTCTTTCTCAATACAAAGTTTTTCTTACTGATACCACTCTAGTAAATTAGTGCCATTTAGTTTCATAGTAGAATGCAATCAGATTGTTGCCACAAACCATTATTGCAGAACTGGACCCCATAGCTTTCTTACTCTCATGATGTGTACCCATCATCTTATTTTAATTAATATCTCTCCTCTTGATTACAGAAGAGGGCAGCAACCAATAAGTAAGAATACAGACTTTGTATCAAACAATAAGGAGGTTTACAACCTGTAATCCAATCTGAAACAGTCTCCAAGCACCAATTAACAATTTAAAATGGTTTTCAGGCATCAGCCAACCATGGAACATTCAGGTAAATGTCTTCCAACCTTGTCATCTTCATGGCTGGACTGCAAATATTGGTGGAAAATTTTCCACTATGTATGAAATCACATGAGACCAGTTATTGTTGATTCAGAAAAGACCTACAAAATAAATTATTCAGACCCCTATGTATGAAAATTTCTAATGTGATGCACCAAACTTAAGAGAAAATAAAAAAAAAAATCACCATTATTTCTGAAAAAGAAACCTAAAAAAAGATCAAACACCTTAATAACAAAAAAAAAAAAAAAAAACTCTAAATTCATCCTCTACCAGAACTAAAGTTTTTCAAGAGGAGTAGGTTAATTGTACTCCTATCGACACTGCTGATGTTAGCAGTCTTTTGCCTATAGAATTCACAGAAGGAAGCAAATCAACCACTCTTTTTTCTTATGCAAAGTTGTGTGTGTTAGATACCCCCATGCCTACAACACTTAGAATGCTTGACAATGATTTAAATTGTCTTTCAATGCAATGCTGCTAATTATGTTAGTCAAGTCAGTCCTCTAATAAAGAGAACGTGTTTCTTTGGAAGAAGCATTTAGGTCATTACCATTTCAGTTGTTAAATGTTTCCAAACTAATAATTGAAGGGGATTCAAAGCTCATTATTGGTTGGCTCCAAAAGGAGGAGATGGACTGGTGGGAGTATTTAAATGAAAAAAGAAAGTTCAGAGAGACTTGGCTCAAGGAATGTAAGTTGAATTTAAATGGATTTAGAGAGATGTCAATAGCTTGGCTGATGCTTTGGCTAAGCAAGGGGTGGGAAGAAGCAACTTATTTTGGGCTATGCTTTAATGTTTTCTTCGTTTTTTGGGGAGTGGGAGCTAAGAGAGTTTGGTTCCCCTGCCCCTCATTGTACCCGCTTATTTATATATTAATGAAATTATTTCAGTTATTGATAAAAAAATGTGCTTCCTCATTTTTCTCAAGTTAATTCAATGTCTAAGTTACCATGTGAAGCATGTCAATTGCTGAAGCATTGTACATCTGTTTTTCCTTCAAATAATAATAAAAATTGCTGATTTGACATTAGGCATACTGATTTTTGGTGTATCTCATGGTTCAATTCTTTGTTTGGCATAGACAATTATTTTTCGTTTGTCTACGTCTATCTTACTAAGAGCAGTCCATTATCATAAAAACATTTCATCAACTGATCCTAACCCAATATGAGAAAAGAACTTAGGTGTTTATTTAAATCTGATAATGGGAAAAGGTCAATACAGTCCTTGTGATATTATTCACCATACATCTTTCTTTATAGCCCCATAAGAAAAATATCATGGCTGAAAGAAAAAACAAACAGTTTTTTCATTGAATGACATTCTGAGAACTTGGAAAGAAGTGGCTGCATCAACCAAAGGAAAGGAAAAAATCTTTATGGAATGGTAACCCCTGGCAGAAAATTCTGTGAAGCTTAATTTTGATGGAAGTTTCCTTGGTAACCAAGATGTGGCTGGGTTAGGAGGTGTATTCAGAGACTCGGGTGGAAAGGTGTTAGCTATGTATTCAGGGCTTCTAGAAAATAGGGATGCACTAACAGCAGAACTACTTGGACTTCTACATGGACTAAAATTTGCCAAGCGTTTTGGATTCCTTAATTTGGGTGAGAACAGCAAACGGGATGGTGGATACTCTAGCTAAGCAAGGGGCTATGAGACATAGCCCCTTGGCTCTAATAAAACTGTATTTTGGGGTTCTCACCTTGTTGTAACTTTCTTATTTGGCTCTAATAACATATTATCTTATTGATCAAAAAAAAGAAAAAAGAAAAAACAAACAGTTGATGGAAGTTTCTTGGGGGCCATGCTCCCAAAATGTTCTAGTCAGAACCTATTTTAATTGTAGCTTATCTCATTACCTATGCCTTCTTGTGTCTTGAATCTCAAAATTCCTATTCAGGTTTTACCTAGATGAGTCTATGTTCGATATTCCCTTCCTCCAAATGCCTTTTAATTTTCTGTTGTGCTCACACTTTAAATCCCAATGGTACAAAGCTTAGTATTAGGTCTGTCTGTTGTGTCTTTCTTGGGTATTTGTCATTTCAGAAAGGTTACAAAGTTTATGATCAGATATTTGGGAAAATTTTGTATATGGTGATGTGGACATTTTGGGAGTCCATGCCTTTTTTCCCTCGCATGCCATGCAGCTCTGCCATGTTCCCCTCCAAATGTTGGTCATTACCTCTAACCTTGTTCTTGTTGTTGTCCTCTCTCAGCCTGGCTCTAAGTTGCAAATAAGAATAGATGAAGTGCAGAAAGATCTTCAAATATACAGTAGGAGTCTAGAAGGAAAGGTTATGGTTGTTGCACCTAGGGACTTCCTTGATATAGGTATATCCATACTTTCGAAACTATTCCTTATACTCTTGTTTCTGATCTCATTTACCCATTACAAGCCTAAAAGAAAAATGCATTTGTACTGTGCATCCCGTTCCTTACGTTATTTGTTATGATACTTTGGGGTGTATTAGGACTTGCCACTACTCTATTTTGGTGAATGGAACGGTGGTGGACTTCTTCCTGGCCTTGAGGGGAATAAGACAAGGAGACCCCCTTTCTCCTTTCTTGCTCACTTTGGTTGTTGAAATCTTAGGGAGATTGATCTCTAGGGCAGATTCTAGAAGTCTAATCAAGGGGTGGAGAGTTGGCAGGGAGAACATACCATTCACGCATTTGCAGTTTGCAGATGATACGATTCTCTTCTGTAGGGGGGGGGACATGAATTGGATTAGGAATTTGAAACTTACAGTACAACTCTTTGAGCAAATGTCGAATCTAAAAGTAAATTTTGATAAAAGTTGTGTTGTAGGTGTGAATATGGGGAAAAGTGAGATCATTACTTGTGCAAACATTTTGGGTTGTGAAGTGTCGAAATGGCCTCTAATTTATCTTGGTCTTCCCCTAGGAGATAATCCTCAAAAAGGAAGTTTTTAGATTCCAATCGTGGAGAGGTTTGAAAAGAGACTTGCATCTTGGAAGAAAAACTATCTATCTCTTGGAGGAAGAATCACCTTAATTAGGTCTACTCTAGCTAACTTGCCCATTTATTACCTTTCAGTTTTTAAGGTGCCTACAGGGGTGGCTAGCAAGTTGGAAAAGCTAATGAGAGATTTCCTGTGGGAGCCAGGGGAGGAGAAAAAGCATAGGGTTAGATGGGAGATGGTGTGTAGGAGTAAGCAAGATGGAGGGCTAGGCATTAGGAACTTAAGGAAGAGGAACTTGGCTTTACTAGGGAAAGGGTTGTGGAGATTTTCATTGGAGAAGGGAAAATTGTGGGCTAAGATAATTTGTAGTATTCGCGAGCTTGCAGAGAATGGTTGGGACTCTGCGATTCTAGCTATGGCTACAAGAGCATCACCTTAGAAATCAATCCAAGCTATTTTGCCTCTATTTTCTCCTTGGATCAGGTATGACTTACACTCAGGTAACCTCATAAAGTTTTGGGAACATGTTTGGGTTGGGGAGTCTCCTTTGAAAGACTAATTTCCGACTCTTTTTGCAATCTCCACTTTCGAAAATAAACCAATTGTCACATTCCTTATTCCCTCAAATTCAAATTTTGGGTTTGGTTGGAACTTGGGCTTGAGAGGAGCACTCAGGGATACAGAATTGGGTGGTACCTCAACTCTCTTGTCCATCCTTGATGGGATTTTCTTGGAGCCTATGAAAACAGATAGTAGGATATGGACTTTGTCTCCTTCCGGATCCTTTACTTGTGCCTCCTTCTTTAAAGCCCTAATACAACCGGAAATTCTTATTGGCTTGTCATTCCCTGTCAAGGAAGTGTGGTGTCAACCTATACCTCCGAGGTTGGGAGTTTCTGTTGGGAAGCTTTCCTGGAAAGAGTTAACACAGGTGATTTACTTCAAAGAAAAAGACCCAATAACTGTTTATCTCCACACTGGTGTGTTCTTTGCAAAGTTGTTGGTGAGTCTGGTTACCACTTACTAATATCCTGTGTTTTGGCAAAAAATATTTGGGAATGGTTTACTTCTTTGTTTGGGTGCAGGTGGATCTCCCAAACTAATGTGCAAAGCTTCTCTTCCTCTCTTGACTGCTCAACAAAAAGATCACGAATCATGTGGAGATGTGTGAGAGCTGCTGTTTGTTGGACAATATGGGAAGAAAGAAATTCAAGGATCTTTTCAGAAAAGGAGAGAGGTTTGGAAACCATGCTAGAAGTGATTCATATAATACACTGGCTGAAGACAATCGATGAGTTCACAGATTTTTCAACAGATGATATGTTAAGAAAATGGAAAAAAAGTGCTACTTCAGTCTCAAGCAAGAAGACCTCAAATCTCACATGGAACCCTCCACCTCCTGGTTTTATCAAACTAAATTTTGATGGCAGTAACATGGGGAATCCAGAGCCTTCGGGTATTGGGGGGTACTAAGAGATGAGAAAGGTAATGTAATAGCTATGTTCTCTGGGCCAATTGGAGTGGGAGCCTCTTTGAGGGCTGAGGTGTTAGCAGCTTTGGAAGGGGTACAAAGGGCCAAAGTCCTTAATGCCAAGAGAAAGTTCTGGATTCCCCATGCTAAAAGAAGACACCTCTAAGATGTGGAGATAGTGAGCTGCAGTAATGAAAAGAGAAAGTTCAAATGGCTGATCAAGGATATGGAAGTTCAATGTACTTGGGTAAAGAGAAATGCCAACTCCTTTGCTGATGGATTAGCTAGGAAAGGGGTTAATAGGGTTTCTGGGTTCTGAGCTCAGTTGTAATTGTTGTTGTTATCAGTTTGGGTGCATTCTCAACTTCTGGGGAGTTAAGATACCTTAGCTCCTATTCTTTGTAAGTTTATACCATTTAATGAAATCCGTGGTTATTGATCAAACAAAAAAAAAAAAAAATCCTTTGCTTCCTTCATATCATGTATTTGTTACTGCTTTGTCTGGTGTTTTGGGCTGCAAACTGATAGAATTGAATTAGGTATATGTAGATCCAATTTTGATTTGTTTATATTCGAATTGGATCTTATCC